GATTTATCATCTGTCCAAAATATTTCCTTGAGAAAGTTCGCTTCACTGCAAAGTGCCTTCAAAAAACATTTTTCTTTGTTTTTGCTATATTCAAGAAATGTGATTGCTATGTTTTATGATTCATTTTTAACAATTGCCAGGAAACTTTTTTCGTGTAAACAACATTTTCCAAGATGTTCGGAAGTGTCTATGCCGGCTTCGATTAATTTTGTGTTGTTACGGGAATAGACCGAACAATCCCTAGGGGTTAAAATCATGGTGCTCAGATTGTGCCTTCAAAAACCGTGAACGAGAATTTTTCTTTCCTCACCGTTTGCATTCTACTCATCTTATGGTAAACGCTTTGCAGTTTTTCTCGTAATGCAACATTATCACGTGATAACAATTCAACCATTTGAGTGGCTCTTGTGGCAACTGCTGATGCTGTTGGCGTCGAATCAACTGGTCTGTCTGGATCTTTATCAGGTATATCTACAAGAGAAGGACAAATGTATGTGGTAGCTAAACCTTTTCATGAGCCAGTCGACCGAGACTTCATGACTAGAAATGCAGTCTTGGCCCCCTTATACTTTTGCCCGATGTTTTTGTGGTCTGTGTCTGCGATCTCTCATACTACTAATAAGGACCTTAAGCAGTCAGGACGGCAACGCCAAGGAAGACTTCGATTAAAAAATGAATTTCTGCCTTTAATTAGAATTTCAAAAATGGTTGCATGTGTTTACCGTCTTATACGGCGCCACACCTCAACTTCAGTATAACGTATAAAAGTTCCGAATGGAAATTAAAATAATTTGCCGTCGCGGTTTCGGTTCGCAGACGACGCAAATAGTCCATTTTACGGTTGCGTGCTTGGTTGCCAAGCCTTTGAATAGGAATGAGGCTAAGGGTGACCTTGTTATGATACAAACCTTGCTGCTTTTCAAATGCAAATTACTTTGTTATCATGCTAACTAGATACTGGTCTCTATCACAACAAGGTCACCTTCAGCCTCATTCCAAGTCAAAGGCTTGGCAATTAAGTACACAACTGTAAAATGGCCTATTGTGGTGATTTCACGTTGTTGTTTTGCATAGGACGGCGAAGAAATGTACAAAGTTTTAAAACGCACGTGCTGAGCTATTGTTCTGCCAATTAGATCTTTTGTTTTTCCATGTCCTCGCCTCCGTCGCCAACGTGGTTTGCTTAAGGTCCCTGATACCCTTCTGGAACGGATCGGGCGTAGACAGCTCGTACCCCCTTAGTAAATAGGTGCTCAATATGTGTAAAATCGATCGGTGATTGTTCACTGATCGATACTCAAATACAGACTTATGACAGACAAGTACAGTAATTGAAAGAGAGTATAACATTGCTCTTACCAAAACCGTATCGCTTGTCACTGTCTTTAAAACTAAAATTTCCGTCAGAGCCATCATCACCCACTGATTCTTCTTCATCTCTATGCTTGAAGTTTATAACTCTTTGATTCAACAGTTCTTCATTTGTTCGGCATCCATTACCGTCTCTTCGCTCATCGCCGTCATACACAACAATAAATCTTTGTTCACTTTCATTGTCATCAAAATTGCTCACAGTAATACGAGGAGTCCATAAGGTTTGTGTCCGTTTTGTATAGTCTCTTCCATTGGGCGCTGGTTTTATTTTTATTGAGGCAAGCTTGGAGGATTCTTTCAGGAGAATTTCCCTGTCCTTAACATTTGTGATCTCTAGGTCATCTGGAGAAAGATTAGAGATAAAATCAAGTTGTTTGATTTTTTACCTTTTGCTTCTTTATATATTTATATACTTTTTCTTGAACTAAGTTACACTGAAGATTTAGCCGACAGCAAGAGTAAATTCTTGATCGCTGATTGAAAATGTCTCCACCACGAGGATCTGAATGTAGACCCTTAACAGTTCTAAAGGATCTTTATGGGGCAGTTTTAGATTTTGACTACAAAATATGAGCTTCTGAAGGAAACATATAAATGGTTGAAAGTTCAATCTTGCTCTGTTAAGGCAAATTGAACAAATTCGAGTTTTTTCTTATGGTTTTCTAGCTTGATAAATATAAAAGCAGAATTTCTGGTAAATAACTCTCCCAGCTGAGCTATAATCTACAGGGGGAGGAGGAGGGGGCACGGGTGTCTTAAGGGAATTTAAGACGACGAAATTCACTCGCTTTTGAGGGCTTTAAGTCCCAAAAAAAAACTAAAAAGTAAGCGCTTAAAGTAAACCTGTATACTCTGTTTAATTGTTATGACCCCCCAAACCACAGCTTGTTAAGCATTACATACCCTGCCGAAAAAACTTGGGCAATCTTAACCCCCACCCCACCACCCTTCTTCTTAAGCTCCCTTCCCGCTGAGCCAATTACAATTGATTGATGTAGATAACAATAAATAGATGAACAAAGTGCTTAGTAATTCATGATTTAAAAATTGCAATGTCATTCTTGACGACAATGGCTTTTCATATAATTTTCTGATTAGGTTCAAATCTTTTTTGAAAATGTTAATGAGCCCATACTACAAATTATTTTATTTTTTCTAGGTTTTTTGACAGGGACTTTATATCACTAGGACCACAAGTCCAGTTTCTTCTTTCTCTTCAGTCTTTATTCAACTTTTTTCTTTATGAAGCGTTTTGTTACAATAATGTTTTCATCTGTTCCTTCAGAGACTGTAAAAGAAAGGGTTTATTCATAACAGAAGAAAAGTCATAGACACAAATTTGCCCGGTAATTGCAACTAGTTTACAACTGTCGTGACCTCTCGTGATTTGCATGTTGTCGCTAATTTGCAGTTTAATTAAGTGAAGCATAAAACATTTTATAGGCTGAGATAAAAAGAAATTGGATTTCAATTGAAATCAGCCGTTGATCTATTGTTGAGAATTTCTGCCCATTTCGACAAAGCATAGAGACAAAACAAAAGAGAGCGGAATCAGTGATTATAGAGTCACAGAATCAAAGATAAACCTCGTTGTGTTACGTATAGGTGAAGCGAGAAAAAAGCGTTTAGTTCTCTTGCTGCTGTTAATTAGTAAGCAACACGGCTGGATTAAAAGCGTCTTACGAAACACTTACTAGGAGATAAAAAGATTCACATTGATTCTCTGACGCAATATCGCAAGCAATCAAGAATATAAACAAAGGCGAAAGTTTGTGCTCTCTCTTATCCGAGCGTCTAAACTTTACCACATTTATATCAATATGCCCCGTCGCTTTATTGAAGGAAAGCAAATATTTTATAGCTATCGATCAAGTGTTCTCTGAGAGACAGACAGTATTATATCCAGCGAATTATAGAGCATTTTCACACAACTACTGTTTGAATATTATGTAGGGAATAATTGTGTTTTGGTTTCCAATGTATGTTTGTTTATCAAGCTAAACTTCTGATTATCAGAGTTATGTGTTCAGTTAGTAAGTAATTCGAATTTTGTCTGCCGGTGGAATCAAATAAATGAGAGTGTAGAAGCTAAGAGCGTGGCTTTGAACTTGACGAAATATTTAAGATATGAAGCTGTTATAATTTCTGTTCAAGGAACTGAGTTTAATTTTGTTGTCAAGTACTTACCAAGAAGATTATCATCCATTTGGAGTAAAACAGCTCCATTGACAAGATATCCTACCAGAAATCAACAGTGAATAATTGAAAGAGAACAGACTTTACAAGTATGAATGTGTTGTGAAAATTTGGCGAAACTTTCCCATCTTTGTACTACAGAACAACTTTACAAAAGATTTCTGTCAAAACATTTGAAACAAACGATATTGCATGACCTTGTCGTGCTTAACGATTTCTCTGTCAGACTGATATTGTTCATGTTGAATAACTGAAAACTTTCATTCTACTCACTTAGAGTCAAGCATAGCTCATTGGATGAGTGTATCTGATAAAAGGAAGAGCTGGATTAACAATGTCAAAAATCAGTTACCTTTAAATCTTTTCGCATACTTTGGAAGCCCTATTTCTTTTAACCAATGAGCAACTTCATCAGCGTTCCAATCCATTTAGAACGTGCCAGCGCACGGCGATTTATGGGCTTGCAACGTTCAAATTTGTACACCACCGTGCAACAAGAAACCACAAAACCTCAACTCATTATTCCTTTGTTTGCATGCAAACGTTTCCAGAGAAGTGATCGGGCTCAGAGGAAACTCGGAGATTCACTTCAGTCTAACTTATCTCCATCGAACAAACAAAATGTCAAGTTAGGTTGAGTGAAGGCAATGAATTAGCAGATGACATCAACTTTAATGAGATGCTTTCAGATGCTTACCAGGTAATTAACGCAGCTACTGGTGACCTGACTTTAATTAAAATTTCTTCCAACTTCATGATGTGGATACAGATACACACATTTCTCAAAGTTAGACTCGCTATAGCAGGATTTATTTCTTCTGCGCGGAGATAAAAAGGTCACGTATAGTACCTATGTGACTTTACGAATTAAAATTTATTTTTAACAAACTCAAATTTTGTTTATATTTCCCTCGGCACTCGTCAGTTCACCCATCAAGTTGCCTTCGTTATTTTATCCCTTTTATTCCCGAAAAAAACTTTTATCCTTTTCTTTTCGGTCAAAAAAGTATTTCTTTTTATCATTGAGTGCTTGAGATATCAACTATATTTGACGCATAGTTGCGATGACCCATTTCAATCTGATGACCATACTTAATTTCTGTATCTGGCCTCTATGAGTTGTTAGTTAATCATGTCATCAGTAAATTATCGGTTAGTTGAGGTTATGACTCTTTGTTTGCTGTGTTTTGACGTTATTCCTTAAACGGAAGTAATGTCCTGAAAGCTATTTCCGGTGTAATTACCAAATGCCCTGAAACCCATTTAAGATAGGCGCGAGTGCGTCATAATGATGTCAGCAGTGGAGAAAACGTGCAGCAAGTGAGATACTTTGAACGCGAATCGCGAAAGGAGAACGCAAAGTGCGACGGATCCATAGTAACATGCAGCATATCCTCCCGATCTTGTTTTCAAAAAGCGTAATAAGATGACATATTCATAACCGCACATCCTTGTAAAACGCATACTGAAAACTGAATCCCGGGTATGGAAGCTTTTCGTCGCACGCCTTTCTCTCAGGTTTTGTTGGCGTAGTAACACTCAACTCCGATCTCTAGACAGAGGTCTGGTGATAAGTTTTGACCTCCTCAATTGACTTGTCTAAAATTTTAATCAATTTAAGATTGTTTTTGGTTTGTTTGTTTGTTTTTTCCTTTAACAAAATCGTTGTTTATAGTAGGATTTGGTTTTAAGTTTTGATCAATTTGGATTCAATTCTAAATAACCACCACTTAGGAGGACTAAATTTCAAGGTTACCGCATAACATTTTTCCTGGCTAAGTACAGTAACCAGGCAGCAGGTTTTCTGCTCCGTCAACTTCTTGGATCTTCTTTCTTTTGAAAGTTCCATCTTATTCACTTAAGGAAATTTTTCATAAAATGTGGAAGCAAAACCTTTTCACAATTTTCCTATATGGAGTCATAATTTTTAATGCTGCAATGGTATTACTAAAACGTAAGCGATGCATCGGTTGTTTGTTATATTTAGTGAGCTTGTTGACTTTTGAATATGGCGACTGTAATATTTATCTCTTGGGAAAAACGCTTTTTATCTTCAAAAAGAAAACTTTATTCGTTCCTCATTGGTGTCAGTGAATGTAGATTTGAGTTGAGATATATTTGATTTCAGTCTCTCAACAATGAGATTTATCAAAATCAAAACATCATCCGTACAATTTTAACGTGGAAAATTTATTCAATCGATTACTTTGCTTTTTTTTCCTACAGGTAAGATTTTGAATGGATTGTAAAAAAGCAGGTTTCATTGGAATTTTTTAGTGGTACTTAAGGATTTTGTTTTACTTTCATTTGCCTTCCAGATATTTACCACAGGCGCACTTCATTGCTGCTCACATGTGAAAATTCAGACAGCAATCTTGGCATGTCTGCTGAACATTGTCCTCTGAAAGCTCTATCGAGTCACTGCACTCAAAGAGTATTGGACGGTGTGAACATGAGCCAAGGGCTTGTTCTTGGAAAGGAAAGAAAACAGAAAGGTATTAGTGCTCGATAGCCATCTTAATTTTACGAGGTAGATTACGGTCTAAAATGAAACTCAAACGGTTTAATTTTGCAATTACTGAAAGAGTATATTTGTCATGTTAGACACAGAATAACCGAAGAGACATTTTAAAGACAGTTTTATTCACCGATACACCGGTGTTTGTTTCTTATACAGGATAGCTAGAGCCTTGGATGTTTCTTTCCAAAAATTTCGTGTTTAAGCCTGCGTGGAAATTTCTTATGTAACTGGGCAGGTGGAACGATTTTCGGAAATGTGAGGCGCGAGTTATAACTTGTACAATTGTGTTTTTATTTGCGTTCTTCTGACTTTTGTCAATTTTTCTCCAGTTTTCCTCACTCTTGGCATTGTTGCAATGAAAGGCGAAGAGAGCAACCTGATACAAGCTCTCTATTCCTTGAAAAAGCATATCTCAATAGATGAGCATGTCGACATCGTGTTCGCTGTGGTTTCCGAAGGAGATTCAAAATCACTTCTCTTACAGCGCATAAAAAGCGAATTCGAACACGAAGTGGACAAAGGTCTCATTCAGGTCTTACATCCCACGGATAAATTTAATGAGGCAGTCAACATAGAACCCCTGGGATGGGGTGATTTGACATTAACAGAGGATTTTAAAAAGACTACAATGGCCTTCAACAAAAGACTCTGTTTCCTTCTCGAGTACTGCTTTCGTTCGTCTAAACACTGCTTACTTTTGACTGATCAAGCCCGTGCTTTGAAACCTTATTTGTCAGTAATCAAGGAAGTTGTAAACAGAATTGAAGAAAAAAACCTTACACTTTACGCACATGATTTCGGAGAAAGGTCGCTGCCTTCCTTAGGGCGGCTTTATTCGGAGGCTTTAGTTGGCGATTTGGCTGAATATGCGGCTCTTTTCCCAGGGGGTCGTTTCCCTCAATCAATCATAGATGTCTTTGCAGCTCTGAGGGTTTCCAGTTCATCAACATCTCAGACAGGTGGTCAGTTCCTTTTTAAACTAGCTGCAGAGCCACGCGGTGCAAAACCAAGGGCTGAGTTTGACACAACTGTCGAGTGTGAGAAAGGTCATGAAATAGAGAAAGCTTTCATTCAAGAAAGCTTTGCTTGGCTCCGGACACCGAAAAAGGATGATAAAGTTATTGTGAAATTCGGAAAACCTTTTGCAATATCGCGTGTGCTTGTAACCACTGGAAGTCCTTTTTACAGAGATATTATGATCAACAGCGAACTCCTCTTGTGCGCTAATGATATGGAAACAAACACGTGCGATGAATCACAGTGTAAGGCAGTTGGGTCCTTCGCAGATCCCATTTTAGATGTTAGAAACCTGGAAACTGTCGTGAGCTTTCCAGTAAAATGCTTAAAAATTTATTTTACTGCGGACGCTAAGCAATGGGTTATGATTCGAGAGATTTCAGTTTGGCCAAGAGAATAGGAATAACAACTTGGTCCCTGTGTTTCTTAAAGACATCTCGCCTTGTTGTCTGACGGGGCGCGATTTGTTTTTTTCCAAAGTGAGATTACTCTTAAACATTTTATGTAAAATAAAATAATATTTAACCATTCAAATGGCTATAAACCTGCACGAATTGAGTTAGGAAATGTACAGGGCCAGAGCCCAAAGTAAAACTCGAGATGTAATCCTGAAAACTTATGTTATAGGTTTCAACTTCCCGCAAAATTTCAACAGGAGCCATACGCACAAATTAAAACCCGCATTAACGTATATTGCACGTTTTTTTCTTCTGTAAGGATAGCGTACCATTAAGGTAAAAAACCTTTAAAAGGTGAGAAAAAGGTGAGCTTGGGAGAGATGGTAAATGTTCAGAGGAAGAATACGCCATGGAAAAGTGCCCAAGGAATAAAATATTGCCAAATTACAGTCACATCTCCGCTAAGAGACACTCTTAAGCGGGCATTTCTACTTTCGGACACTTTTTTCAGTTCCCTGCTTTGCCTGCTTAGTATTTATACATTCCCGTAAGAGGACACTTTAACAATAAACGGACGCAGACACTTATAAAAGTGAAAATTGGATATTCTCTTGTTTACGCTCTCTCGTAAGCAGACACCCCAGGCATGATAAGTGACTCTTGCAATGAAATTTGTCTTGAATTTTCAAATCAACTTGACAAAAGTGTGACCTTCGACAGAGCCTAAACAGAACAGTAGGGACCAGTTTTGTCGATCCCCATTTGTCTGTGGGAAAACAAGCTATCCATAAGCAAGAGTGCGATAATATCTGTAGTGCCACGTTCTGGCCACGTCCTCTTTCCTTCCTCTTCTTCCCGAAAGTGAACATTCACCCCATTTTTCTTTGGTTTCCAATTATGAGAATAATTATCCTAAACGGACAGCTCTTCTATACGAACGGACTCTTTTTCGAATTCCCGAAGTTGTCCGCTCACGAGAGAGTTGAATGTAGCTCATACCCCAATTTGAGATCGAGTGCGAGCGTGAGGGACTGGCACTCGTACGTTTGACCGCTGACTCACCGATGATAACAAAAAATGGCGGATAACTCGGCGGATTAGGAGTAAATTACATCTTGATTTAAAATGGATGAAGACGATGAAAGGACTGAGGTTGATGGCCAGCTGACAATTGAAAGTGTAAAGTTAATCTCTGAATCCATGGGCATATCTAATCTCAATGAGGAGGCGATAAATCTGCTCATTGATGATGGGACATATCGATTGAAACAACTCGCTCAGGTGAGTTTAGCGTCATGTTTCTTTGCATGCTTGCTCAACTATCCTCTTTGGAAAAATGTTTGGCGATTTGTGAATAGAGATAGATCTTGATCAAATTTTTTAACTTAAATGTTCAGCTGGGTTAGCATTTTGAAACTTGTTTTGAAATTTGAAAATTTGATGTAAACGTTGGGTCAGGAACGAAGTTAATTTGTCACCGACCAAAGAAAAGCTCATATCTTCATTGAAATGAGGTTATTGTTTCCTCTGTTCATACGATACTGGAACTGGAGGTATGGCAGTCCTGAAAAAATTACTTACATCTAGTATATTTATTGAGTACCTAAAGGGAAAATCGCGATGTATTTTAACTCTTGCTTCAAATCTTCAGGAGTCTGCTAAATTTATGCAACACTCAAAACGCAGGAAACTCGTCACTGGAGATATCGACAATGCACTGCACGTGCAGAATATTGAGGTACGATGCATTTAACGTTGATTGTTGATATGTTTTGGAGATACTTACTGAATATATTTAAACAGTGGTTGTGGCCAGCTGTCTTTGGAATTGTTCCTATTTAAAATAACAAATAGATTACCATGCGTCTGTCCAGTTATATATCACAGATGACTTAAAAATTTGATATGAAAATAAAATGGTGCATAAGGCAGCGCTGAGTGTTTACTTATGCTCTTACCACTTTTTGTATGTCCTCTGTAGTCTGTTACTGGGTATTACCTCTAACATGGAATCTTTTTGTAGTTTTAATAATAATATTAATTACATCTTTAGCCAGGGTAAACCCATCAGCAATTGCTGATATCAACGGGTGCCCTGTTAAATTATACAAAACAATACTGAAGTGAATAAAACAAAAATAAGACCAAAATATCAATCATAATTAAAGATAATTATGAAAAATCTAAATATGTATATAAATTGACTAGAAATCATTTAAAAATTCTCTTATTTTTTATCTTAATATTAATAATGACTTAATTGATTTTAATTCAGGCAACAAATCATTGAATGCTTTGGCCTCAGCATAAAAACAACCCTTTTTTGCACCACCTGAGAATGACTAGAGATACTATAATAGTTCTTAAAAATTTCTTGTCCATCAGACTTAAGACACTTAAAACAAATGTTAATCTATGTATCATACATCATGAATAGAGGGTTTTCCAACCCAAATGTTGAGTAATGAAATATGCGTTTATTGTTCATGGTGGTGTAAGATTGGAGATGAACTTTGTTCGTTTGTCTCACGACAGTCACTTTTTGATGTAGATTGCAACGTCTCAACAGCAATACTGCTAGTCTTCATCAGGCAATGAGGTCAATTATTTACAGGTCGCCATTTGTAGCACGTTGGTATGCTGCCATTGATGCATTTCGATCTTCATTATTATTCTGGTTGTTAGATGGTGTTCCTTCATGGGTCCTTACATGGAATCTTTTTGTTTTACATGATAAAAAAATCATAATATTGTTACTGTGACATCACCTACACATCTGTCCTCCAACAGATCATAAGCACAAACCAATCAAAATGCATGTATAATTCAATATCATACAAAACTAAACTGACTTGTTTAATAGCTCTTTACAATATTTCATAAATAATGCTGTTTTGAACTTCAGAAGCATTGTCTTTTCCACTTGCAGCCTCTTTATGGCTTTGGCTCCAAAGAATTCATTCCATTCCGTTTTGCCAGTGGTGGAGGAAGAGAACTGTATTATTATAAGGATCCTGAAATTGACTTAAATGAAATTGTGAGCTCACAGTTGCCGCGTATTCCAGTGGATGTAACCATTAAAGGTACTTTGTTGTTGTAAGGCGCTGCAGCGAATTGTTTATATGATTGACATGTAGTATAGTAACATGTAAAAAATTTTCTTGGATTGCTTTGGTTTTGCTTTTCTTTGCACTGTAAAAACTTACACCACCCTTAAGATCAATCAGATGTGCATCAAAACTGAAACTAACCTCTACTCAGTCACTAGCATTCTTCTGGGTCTGAGGCAGTTTGCTTGTTTTTACTTTAAGCATTTGACGACCCCCCCCCCCTCCCCAAATGAGTGACCAGCACCTAATTTCTCCTTACATTATCAGTCCTGAATTAAACATTAAGGTCACAGGAAAGAAGGAAATGATTGCCAACTAGAGAAGCTCTTGATAGATGAACAAATTCTCTATGCTAGCACCATAGTGAGTGTGTAGAGAACAGTATGTACAGTATGGATACCTATGTTAGGGTGCAAAGTTTAAATAATTGTCACTTCCATGCAACCTTCTCCTTTGCTTTGAATTACTGTTCTGATTGTTTTGGTTTTGGTTTTGAGATGCCCAAACAGAAAGCCTTCCACAGATAAATTTTATAAAATCATGTTCTTCTTGGGGAAAAACTGAAACATTGGGGGGTATCTAAGGATTAAGCTCTTGTTTGAGACAGTGTGCTGAATTTTTATGTATCTTTTATCTTTTAGCTCACTGGTTAAGTATTGATGGCCTCCAGCCTGCTATTCCTGAAAATCCCCCTCCAGGTATCTAACTTTACTCAAATCACAGGAGCAAAGTAATTGTGATATCAATATCCTGATCAGTATTAGTATATCATTATGAAGGGAGCCTGTAGGAGCATTTAAGGGTATAAGTAGTACACTTAATGAAGTATTATTATAAATTGTATGAGTCAGACTTTAGAGTGATGAAACTAAAGGATTCAAACTGGAAAACTTTTCATTATTGGTCTGTTGGCTGAACCATTATCCCAATGGATTATAACTCCTAACAGATTTTCCTCTCTTATAATGATATGATAATTGATTTTCTTTGCTTTCTCTCTTTAGTGCCTGTACAAGTTCAGGCAAAGGACAATAGGGCTGTGTTAGCTGCAGCGTTACCCAAAGTAACTAAAACAATCAAACCACAGGCACCAAAGGTGGCTGGAAAGGGAGCCAAACAAAGTGTTGGGAAAAAGAATAACCAAAATCTTAATAAAGAGGCGGAATCTGGAGACAAAAATGATAAGACAAAACCCCAAGTCACTCATGAATTATCCATGGTAAGGTTTTTGTCAATGAAATTAGTGACTGTAAGATCAGCTGTGGCAGTGAACAGGTTAACACTTTCAGTTGCAGGTCTTATTTTTAATTAGCCTTTTCGTTTGTCATATATTTTTTTATTATTCTGTAGAATGTGTTAGGATGAGCAAACAATAACCATTATTCTCTGAACCCAAGAGTGACTAGCTTCTAGTTTCTCCTTACAATATCACCCCTGAGTTGCACATTAACGATAACAAGAATAAAGGAAATGATCACTGACTAAAGAAGCTCTTGCTCGATAAACAAAGTCTCCTTGTCAGTGCCATAGGAAACGATAGGAACAGTCCGGAGAATATGCATACTGATGTTAGGGTATAGAGTGTTAACTTGTCTGCCTAGAAACTAGGTGTACTTGGAGAAGTGTTTTGGGATAAAGTAGAGAACTTGACTATATTAGCTAAAAACACTGATTTAAAACCAAATTCTCCTACAGCTGTATCAAGCTTTCAAGGCTTTGGGTGAAGCTAATCCTAGCACAGGGTCAAATATACTTCAACTGACTTGACTGGCTTGTTTTTTAGGAACAACAGTTATATTACAAGGAGATCACAGAGGCTTGTGTGGGATCCTGTGAATCTAGAAGAGCAGTAAGTGAGAGGGGGGTGTTAACCTATGATGGAATGACATCTTAGCTATTGGGAGAAGGAAATTACTGTATACTCCTGATTGTTTTCATGCCTGGGAAATTGGGATTAACTCTGTCAGTTTGAGCGATTAGTTTGAGAGTAGACTTACCTTACTTTTCATTATTTATCTCCAGGAAGCTCTACAAAGTTTATCAACAGACCCAGGTCTCTATCAAATGTTACCAAGATTCAGTACATTCATCTCTGAGGGGGTAAGTCTTCATTGCACCTTTAACTTCCAAAATCTGATTTGATCAATTGTTCTTCCTTCTAGCTGTCATTGATTTTCATGTGAATAGTTAAAAAGAATTTGGTGTTATATAGAGGAAACACTCTCTTGCTGATACCTTTTTGTTCTCATAACTTATTTGTTTGACAACATAATTATTTGTATCATTTGGAGAAATGAGATTGTAATCATTTAGCTGATGTTGATCAAAATGTAAACTAGGACATTTGATATGTGAAAATGTGTGTGGTATTAATATCTCCAATAACAGTTTTTGAATGAATATAAGCTAGTGAAAAGCACTAATAATGGCTGCTCTTTGTATCAATTTATCCTAGGTGAGAGTAAATGTGGCACAAAATAACTTAGTGTTATTGATCTATCTGATGCGTATGGTGAAAGCTTTGTTGGATAATCCAACACTTTATGTTGAGAAATATGTAAGTTATTGGTTTGTCTGAAACCTTGATATATTTGGGCTTATATGGATAGCAAAATTTTTTCCCCCTTTTTGTTGCTTTTGATTATTATTATTATTAATTATTATTATAATCATCAAGTTGTTTGTTTCTAACTCAACAGCTGCATGAGTTAATTCCAGCAGTAATGACTTGTATTGTGAGTAAACAACTTAGTACTAATCCAGAAACTGACAATCATTGGGCACTTAGAGACTTTGGATCAAGAGTTGTTGCACAAGTCTGCAGGTAAGGAAGAAATTTGTTGTTTGAAAGATGATGTGATGCAGTGAATGACACACTCGGAGTCTTCCTAATAGGAGTCAAACCTAAAACTTTCCCATTTGTACATACTTCAAGTGCTCTACCACTGACCTTAAGGAGACTTGTGGTAGGCTACATTGTAGGCCATTTATTAATGAGGGCATGACCAGTCCAGATTGACTAAACCCAAATGGGATTCATTCTAGCAATAACCTTAGGGTGTTAACTTTATAATTCATATAGTGTAGTACGTGAAAAAGTGTAGAGGTGATTTAATACAATTGCTTGTTAAGGTGACTGGTAGCAGAAACAGTGACAATATTAGTTTTACAATTTTTAAAAGAATGTAAATGGGTCAGGAAAAATTTCTGTCTAGCCTAATGTCACTACATGGTTTTTGTCTCAGGTCTTTTAATTCCACTACAAATAATGTTCAATCAAGGGTTACCAAAACTTACTGCAAGGTAAGTGCAATCCCCCTCAGATAAAAAAAAAATATTTTGGTTGTCAAAACATTGTTGTAGAAGATCTGTTGTTCACTTGTTTTAAATCAGTTACTGTTGACACTCGTGTTTGTTCCTGCAGGCATTACACCAAGAAAAAGCTTCATTATCAACTCATTATGGTGCTATAACTGGGCTTGCAGAGCTGGGACAGGAGGTATGTTCTTAACACTAATCACAAGTAAAGATTATCTTGCAGGGTGGGCTTGCAGATATCAGAGAATACTTATAGGTTATGCAAAATTCTGTGTTTCAGTTTTGAGAATTCTTTCCTGATACATTACACTATTCTACAGTTACTGCATTTCTTACAAAAACCCTGCCCTGGCATGAGGTTTATTCAAATTTGTCAATGTGATATAACATTCTCATACTTCACTGTTAAGTGATTTTGTTCTTCAAACTCTTCTGATTTGAAAGGTGGTTAAGGTCTTTGTTGTTCCAAGACTCAAGATTGAAAGTGCTTTGATTAAAAAAGCTCAAGAAGGAATCGACCCTGTGGAGAAGAATGCTGCAGAAAACCTCAAGAATCTACTGCTGGTAATTTTTGATGTGAACTTTGTAGTAATTCCAATTGTTACAAATAATCTCTTTCCATTCCATGAATTGGTCTGGAACTTTATAAACGAGCCTATATAATTTCTTGGATCAGATCACCTTTAACCTTTGACCAGACCTGATACAGTGACCTTCCTTTATTTGAATTTATATTATTTTGCCACAAAACATTTCAAGTAAGAAATTTACAATTCAAGAACTGCATAGGAATTTCAATGTTAAATTTATTTTCAAATCTGTCAATAACTAGAAAAAGAATTAAGTAATGTAACAAGGAAACCCAATAGAAGCTAGAAGCTTTAAAAATTTGGGTTCCTCAGACCAAACAACAGATGGCATCCTGCATATGTTTCCCATGGTGTCTCTCCCTCTTGTTTGAATGTTTAATTCAATACAACTGATATTGATTTCTCTTTGTTTGTAGAAACACTGTCCTGCTTTGTTACTGAGAACTCGTCATCCACCAGACTTGGCTGATCAATATGAAAAAGAGTTTGGTAGTATTGGACCTCTTCTTTGCACCAAAGTGTCACAGCTGCGGCAGAACATGAGCGCCATGAAGAAACCCTCCACATTAACTGTGCGCACAGTAACTGGTGTCTTGACCACTGGGATTACAACTCCCACTACACCCTCTACACCTGGGGCAAGTCCAGTTAAATTACTTACCCCAACTTCTGGTGGGACTTTCACAATCTCTTTACAACCTGGTTTGAAAGTTGGTCTACCTACCACCCCTAGGGATTCTAACCCCACCACTCCCACATCAGCAGGGACTGTAACACTACCAGGGTTACTACCAACAGGATTGACGAGCACAGGGCTACCAAAGCCAACTACCCCCACTAGTAACACACCCACACCTGGTGGCCCTGTGACATAACACTTAGCTACAACTCGCCTTTTTAAAATGTACTTATTTAATAAGTAACTGTACAAAATGATGTCATCCAAAAAAACAAAACCCTGTCAAGGTTGCAGGTATATTGTAGTTAGTTCAAAGTATTTTAGCCCTGTATTTCAATCACTAGAAGTGCATATCATGTAATCTTTTGTAATAAATAGTTAAGAATTGTATGTAAACTGTTTCCTTCTGTATGTTTTAGTGAGTGTGAAAATTTTCAGTTCCTTTAGAATAATTACAAGCTAATTTTGGGCCAATTCAGTGAGTTTGAGAGAAGGACAATTTTTGTTTGAAAGTCAGTAGCTGAATTTCAAACAAGACACAGCTCCTGTCTTGCAGTATGGTGACTGTGCTGAGTCTGGTAGCCTCCTCCAGGCCCTCGATCACAGAGAGTCACCCAGTCAATTGCACTCTGAACTTGAAATTTGGGCTTATTCTGCTTTAGGGTCTAACATTAGTGTTAGTGACAATTATAATGCTACAAATTAAGGGCTGTTACCTGGCTCATCTACTTTAAACTTTAAGGTCAGCTCTGTTTACTATGACAGGAAACAACCTGTGAATTTTACCTTAATTCTCCTGTCATTTTTTTTTTCCTTTGCTCCTAAGTACCTCTTGGTGCAAATGAAATTAGATGGAATCATTGTTTGTTAAATACATGGTGTAATGATTGACAATCATAAGACACTTAATGGTTAGCAATCTACATTGTTTCACAACACGTACAAAATCATCTTGTCTGATGTAAGTGGCCGATAGTCAGCACCTAACTAGGTACCCAGTATTTAACGTGAACTATGTAACACAATTTACAATAACAACAAAAAATACAAAAACAAAACACAAAAAATAGACATACTGGAAGCAGGAGGCACACTATGATTGATTAATTTTGGTAGGGTGGCTCGTAAACAGTAGCAGAATGGTACTGGAAGGAAACTCCTAGGAAAGTAATGGTAGTCTTACTCTGCCTCTACAACACACTACTGACCAAGGTCCCCTCTTATGAAAGACTAGAATACCTTGGAATTGTTGTCCCAAAGTATTCAGATCTTAACATTCTCTTTAAAATGGGCCTAGGTACATGAATGTTTGGAATTGATGAAGGAGAAATGAAGTGTTTGTTAAAGCTGTAGTCTTCCTCTGGCTTGAAGGTAGTTGCTGACAGACTTCTCTCTCTTGTTGCTGATGGGATGTGAGCTCCAACTAAATGGCTTTTGTTAAACCGGGTTTTCGGTTCAGGCCAAGAAAATTCCCCTGTCAAAAGAAAATTATGATTTAAGTTGTCAAGTTGGAGTTAAAAAATGAGACAGCCCTTGCAATTTTGGCCATTAATCTTACTTCATTGCCTGCACACCTCTGAAAATTTCTGAAGGTAAAAAATTGGTGGTAAATTTACCTGGGTGATAGTTTGATGATATTTATCAATCATGCTTACCATAGGTAGCCACACAATATTTTTGTAGATCAATATTTCAGCTAGCAGGAGATTGATGTATTGAAGGATAGTTAGTCAATATTTTGGTCAGTAGTCTACGCCATGTTCAGCCTGATGTTGACTGACACTTGATCTGCTTAATTGATGGTTTGTCAAAGTCTCTAAGTCATGACATCAGCCTTCCTTCACCTTGACTGACTCATTGACCATTGACCAACAATAGAATGAGTATCAGTTGAGTGTCAACCAAAATACTTATTGGTTGGAGCATGGCTTGTTTTTATGTTGATATGCCCTCTGACTCTTGACTTATACAGTGGCAATCACTACATATACCACATGTGTTTTATATTCATACAAAATTTAGTCAGTTATGAGAGAGATGAAAAGACCTTGAATCATTGTTTTGATCCTGTCCAGATGCTTAGTGCTTATGACTTCAGGGTCAGAGTAACTCTTCACTGGGGTCACTGTGAAGGAAAAAAAGATCACAGTCAACCCAACTTGAAAGAACATTCTACTATTCAGGAAACATATATGCATTTGAAACAAGATCAAACATACAGGTTCAGCATTATGAAAAGAAGTCTAAAAGTGAAGTGTGACTGCTATCCTTTACCTTCAGTTTTAGAAAAGAGAGTCTCATCAACAGATGAGGTCCTGGAAACTACCTTGAATGTATCATGTAACCTAAAAAGGGAAAATCAGACATGATAATCCTTTAAAAAACTATCTGAAAATTTTCACAGTTTTCTTCAAAAAGTGATCAGCAAGAAACAGATAAGATAACAGTCAAATGAAATAAATCATCTCTATTTCTATTTTATCCAATATTCTCCTTTGTAGCAAACATGTAAAATAATTTCCTTACATGAAAAATAGTAGCATTTTATTAGCACCTATATGCAGCTACTATGAGTTAGAGAGGTGGTGAGCACCACTGGCCTGTTTTTGAGTCTGCAATAGCTTCTGGTAATAACTTACTTTCTTTGACTTGGAATGAATCTGATGTTTCTTGCATGTGTGAATATTCCATGGCCATCTCTACAGTGAAAGTACTGGATCCCCTTGTACAGGCCGCTTGTATTACCAACTTGAAGAAAAACCAGTCATAAATACAATCATTACTTTCGCTACCAAAATAAATACTGTTAATGCTATGATGGGTATTTGTGGGTAAGCAGAATAAATGTCATTTCGATAATTGTTTTGCGCTATAAAGGACAGTAATCCAGGGTTACCACGATAGTTACGTTGGGACTGTATTATGTCACTCAAAGCTATTGATTGGGTTGATTATAGAAGAGGAAACCATCATATTGCTGAAGAGGAAAAATGCACGATTACTCCAGGAAATGATGGTTCCGATGTGGCTGATACGATCTCTTCATTTTTGGGACTAATAGTATCGTAGAGAGCGTTAGTTGTATGGTTTACGAGGAAAACACGAGGTACATGAAATAATGAAGTGTGGAAGAATGTGTTAGTAATGTCCTACAGAATTGGCTATGTGTTAAACGAGCTTCTGTGATAGATCACTTCGGCATGGAGGTTAAATGGATTATAATATGATGAGTTTTCTGGCCAAGATCGAAGGGTTAATTAACACTACCTCTATTGTCTAGTTCAATGCCAACCCATTCGCCATCTTTCGCCACCAAGCTTCCCGCATATCGGATTGTCCCGTTTTCGATCTCTCCTCGCCATCTCACTTGCACACGAGCCCCAGAATTGATGTTATGAAAGAAAACCATGGATCTTCTTTCTACATTTTGTTTCCCTTGAATAAGACTTTTCTTCACTAGTGTTTGCAAAAATCCTTATTCGACCGAGAAGCCTAGAAGAACCACAAACAAACCCAGTTGGCGGGAGAACCAGTCATATTCTATCCAATAACCTGATTGGTTTGCATTTGAAGAATAAAAGAATTTGACCAATCAAAAGTGATGTAATATTTCGAAGCTGTTGCTATGGTAAACCCACAAATCTTAGCGACGGACCGTATATTAGCAACACGGCAGACATCTTGAATTCAAACAAGCTTCACGATAAAAGCAGGTCGGAGTTTGCTGTGATTAAACTACTATGGCTCTACCTTTCCTGCCAGGCCAAGTTTTTGATCGAAAGGTAAGCATTCAAATTATACAATGCCGTATATTTTACGACTGAGTTAAAACTTAAATCTAGTAAAATTTACTTGACTCAAATCTCTCTTACCAGATTGGGAAAAGCAAGTTTCACAAGTCACAATTATTTGATTACCGGAATGATGTATCATCCTTTGTAGGTGAAGATAAAAGTGGAATTGGTAAGTTTTAAAAATACGTTTACTTCCTTGAAGTTTACATCTTTTCTATTTTAGATCAAAACGTTGAGAGGTAAGTCTGTAACTGTAACTAACAACCAAAACACATAGTTGAAGACTTGACACATTTACTTAGCTGTTTTGTTTCCATTTTATCAGGAGGAGATCCTTTACCAGGACAAAAGTTAAAACCGAGACACAGTGGTTATCCAAAGGGTATTGGTGGAGAGGCACCCGCCTGGGTTGCATTTGACAGACAGGTAAGAAATTCGTCAGTCATTTTGGCTAAATTCAGAAATTTTTACCTCAAATGCTTCTGCGGTTTAATCGTGAAAAAATGTACCCTGACGTTAAAAAAATGGTTTGTGGAAGAACTGCGAAAACAGATATCGATCTTTAGCAGTTTAAGAGAAAACAGGGGTATTTTTTGTTCATAAAAACTGGTTTGCATGAATGTTGAGAAGCAAAACGAAGTCAACCCTATAGTTTTGTTTTACTTAAAACAAGTGGGATATCTACTCACTGGGTTTAAGTAAAATATACAACAATCTGGGAATACAACACAATTTGCATTCATTTCTAGCAAAAGAGTATGATGTATAGTACCTTAACCTTTCAACTCCCAGTACTGATTGAAATAGTACTTCTCCCCATAATTTTGATACATTATCCTGCTAAAGGTCATGAGAGCAGAAAATTTTATCAGCTGGAGGATGTTATCTTGACTAATCAACAGATTCTTCTCACTAATTTACAAGGAATATATAGCAGCTAGAGGGGATAATTTTATTTAAATCTTGGGAGGAAATGTATGAAAAGTATGGGAGCACTGAAAAGTATTTGATCTACACCCCAGAATGTCAACATGCTTGTGGGCCTTTCTTGATAGATTAAGTGATATATGTATGCAGCGAGTGTTGTTCTTTAAACAGATACAATAGAGGCCAACTGTAATAAAAAATTGGAAATGCAAAACACTCCACTGACTGCTATGAACCAGAGACCAATAAGAAACAAGGTTACCCATGAAGATGTAATTCCTTGTTTACTTGTGAAATACAGGTTTTGTGCTTTGATGCTTATTTCCAAGAAGCAGTACATGAGAAAAGAGAGGAGCAATACAGGATTAGAAGGTATCAAACTATATTTTAGTCTTGTTTCATTCCTTATTTGCCTAACCAGTTAGAGTAAATAAAAACATCCGGCAGTCTTATCTTGGTTTTGGTTGCAAAGCAAAGGAAATGTAGTGTCACTTTCTGTAAAGCTTTAAATTTGTCATGGGCCATTATTGCTAATATTATATTCTTTTGCATGATGAATTGCTTGATTAAAATCTTGATAAGATTTTAACTGTGTTATCTTAGATATTTCTTTGACCTCTCAAATATTGTATCTTTTTCATGTTAGATGCAAAATTTACTTTTATTTGGAGGATGACAGTATCCAAGTGATTGAGCCAAAAGTTGAAAACAGTGGGATTCCACAAGGTTTGTAATTTTTTTTTTGACTGGATTGTGAGAAATGAGTTGTGATTACTGTTAAAAAGAATGTTAACTTGATTTTTGTCATTTTTATTCTTAAAAGGAACATTGATTCGTCGTCATCGCATTCCACTACCTCCACCTAATGATGAAGAGTTTTACACTGTGGAGAACTTTAATGTTGGTCAGGAAATCACGCTTTACTCCCGCACATTTAAGATCACTGTGAGTATATCAAGATATCACTGAAAATACCACTTCCAGCATTGTGATTAAAACAAGTCATTTTCTTTATGAACTGGTCGTAATTTCCCCTCTCTTGTTTCAACCCTTCATCTCCCATGGGCCGCAAGTACAAAATCAAGCTGACAAGTGATGAGGGTTAAAAAAAATATCATTTAAAGGATTATTAGTTGATCCAATACAAAGTTTTCAAACTAACATCATCAGATTTGTGTGGCAGACAATAAGGATTGTCAGAGGGTTAAAATGGAAATTTTGGGTGTCTGTCCATCTTCATAATTGTAGCTATGATTGAGATGGAAAAAAGCCAGACAAAGTATATCTTTGCAGTCTTAGATGTACACTGACCTCAGTACAGATGTTGAAACAATTTTCACTTTTGATATACTCAAATTGAGTTTGCTATATGTGTTATTATTGTTTTCAGGGATGTGATGATTTTACTCATAATTTTCTCCGTAAACTTGGAGTCAGGATACGCAACCCAGAAAACATTCCAACAGATCCATATACAGACCACCGCAAAAAGGTTTGTTTTTAGTCTGACTTAAACTGGGGTATGCCATATAAACATGCTCTCATACAAAATACCTTATCTTTGGTTCTCCACTGTAATAGGCTTGTTGTGTCAAAATAAACCTAATCTTTGGTGTTACTGTATATTTTCCAGCTGGTGGAGAGCATGCAGCCATTACGTCCTTATGAGAAAGAGGACACTCTCAAGCAGTTTCTTCAGTTTGATCGCAATGTGTTGCGATTCTTCTGTGTTTGGGATGACAGTGACAGGTTGGTTTTCCCTAAGATTCTCTGTGCATTGGGGTTGTGCTTATGGCATAGATAGTGATATTGTTATGTTGGAAACATTTAGCAAGTATCCGATTTTTTCCTCACTTTATTCTAGTATGTTTGGTGATGCACGTGAGATGGAGTTGCATTATTTCCTTGCTGATGACACTGTAGAGATCTGTGAGCGTATTCCAAACAACAGCGGTAGAGATGCAGTGCCCATGTTCCTCAGAAGACAAAGGCTACCTAAGGTATTTGTCAAGAATTAGTCCAGAGTACTACATATATTATAGTTGACACTTATAGGTATTCTTGCATTGCATAGTTGTCTGACTAGTTTTGTAATTAAATGATTATTGTTTCTTTCCAGGAGCCTACATCATTGCGGCAACCAGGGGAGATTACAGGCAGAACAGTGCTGAATGTTTTTGGCCCCATGGGACATGGTGGGAGATGGATTTTGGACAGCCTTAAGGTTAGTTTACTTGAAACAAGCCAGACAATTGATAATACAAAGTGCATGACTCAGAAAAAAAATTGTCTTGTCTTCCACTACCCTCCCAAGTCCTTTCATTGTTGATCCCTTGTGAGGGGAGATGGCCTTGCCTAAGAACAGTTGGTTACTTCATCTAATGCAATGTAGCCCTTTATTCACAGAAGTGATTAACATGTTACTTCTCCATGATATCTATGCAATATCCAGGTAATGAGAATACTCAAAGTTGTCAAGTAGAAGCTGCTCTCTTGATGAAATTTCAAAACCTTGTAACTAAATTAAAAGGAAATGTGTTGCAGCTAGAGGGGGAAATCAGCAAACAGATCTTGTTAAAGGTTAACAGACAACCTTGAACAGTTTTTCTCTCAGAATAATCACCAGGTACCTTAAGGCTCATTTCTTTCAAGTATAGAGTAGTGCCTGAATGATGTACCTGTTTTTAATTTTTCAGACTGGTGCAGTGTATACAGATTACTATCAGGACAATGATCTCACCATAGGCAGTGTTATTAATGTGTGGGGCCGGAAATTCCGTATCTGTGACTGTGATGAGTTCACCAAAGAGTATTACAAGTCAAAATATGGACTACGTAAGATATCATGAGTTTTGTATTTTATTTTTTGGCATTTTATTTTAATTAGTGTAATACAGGAAGCTTTTCTTTTTGGAGTGGAAGCAGGAAATTTATATTTCTTGTTGTAGTTTTAAGTGATCTTTTACTTCTTAGTGCAAAAGGAACAGAACATTGGTTAATTTTCTCATGTTTTTTTGTCTGCAGAGGAATTTGAAAGTATCAACTTTAAAGCCGACCCAGAGCCCCTGGCACCCCGAGAGATCCCCCCATATAACGGATTTGGTTCTGAGGAAGACTCGCTGGCTACTTGTCTCAGTCTCAGACCCAAGCCCACTCGGAGAGATTTCAAGAAGTTCATGGAAAAAGACAGGTAAGCGAAAAGTGTTGTAGTGATTAAGTTGTTGTATGTAAAACACAGATATCAAACGTCTGAGAACATTGAAGCAGCCCCAAAAACTAGCCAAAATGTTGTAAGAACAGCAACAGCAAAAAAAAAACTTACGAAATCCATTGGAAAGTTTGACTATTTTGTTGAAGTTCTGAGCAGAACAGTAAATCAACAGAATATCCGTGATAAAATTATTTTAGCGCTCGAAAAGTCTCAAGTTTTCCTTTTGTGTATTTTTGTGTCCTATTACAGGTTTCATAGAACGTTTCAATATATTTTGTGTTTTCGTCAATTGTGTGTGACACCGTGCTTGATACTTACGTGATCGCCTTGCGCGGGGAATTGGCGCGCAGCCGACCATACTTGATCAATTTGCTCATGCCCAACACATAGACTTCTTTCATCTCTGAAATTAGTTTTGTACGCGGTGAGAAAGCGATCTGGCCACATTTCAAGCCAGCTTTCGTCTCTCATAGATACAAGTGAATTCAAGCTGTGAATCTGAACTCGAAATATTCAACCTACTTTGATGATGCTATAAAATTAATTTAACTTGACTCTGTGATTTGGTAGCGGCGATTCTATGGAAGAAAGTGTTTATTCTCAACAATGAAATTACAATATTGACATCTATAACGCTTAATTTTTATATATTTAACACGCATTGTCTGTTTTTTTTTTTCAGACATGGTTTGGAAAGTAATGTTCTTCGATTTGTTGCGCGTCTGGACACGACGCGTCCCATTGACATGGACAGAAGGTGAGTTTAACAACTCCAATACAGTGCTTTGAAGAGAATACAGTTATGGATAGGATAACGCTTGGGTTACTTTTTAGATGTTTCCCAAGAACATTGCCAGGTTTGAGTACTTAGAGGAGGCTTTTTTGAGTAATGTCATTCAAAGCTGGTTCTAAACTTTTATTGCGGCACATTTGGTACAGATAATCCTATTTGTTTCATTACTCGTCTTGAATTAACCAAGGGAGGAGAATAAGGTCATACTGTACATTTTGGTTATTAGAAGGGGCGATTTTTGAAGGGAGGCGCCCATTCAGGATTTACGGTACTAGGGACCTAAAGCAGTTATGACGGCATGCCGATGGAATTATTTATTTAAGTATGAATCCATATTTTTAGCGAGAGTTGCGCGAATAGAAAGATGCGTTTACTATCCCTAACGGGACCACGCTTCAACTTCAGATTAACGTTTGTGAACAGCGTTGAGTTTAATAGGAAACTTCAATAATTTGCCATTTGGGGTTTAATTCCTCAGACTACGCGAATGTCGGTGATTTGACGTTGTTGTTTTGCAAAGAGAGAGGCTAAGAAATGTACAAAGCTTCAAAACGCACGTGCTGAGCCATTGATGTGCTCATTAACTCTTTTGTTTTGCCACGTTCTCGTTGCTGTTGCTATCGTGCTTGCTTAAGGTCCCAACTCTCCCTGTAGAACGGTGGTGAGATTGAAGTGACGGTAATGAAGAAGTACGAGAATTTTACATCCTTAGTATTAAGATTGCTTGTCATTCCTTTTAGGTTCATCATCTCTTACTTTCTGTCTGATGACACAATTCTTGTGTTTGAGCCACCCCAGAGGAACTCTGGGATACTCGGCGGCAAGTTCCTGGAGCGAGGACGAATTAAGAAACCGGATGGTGTCAATTATTTTATCGCTCAAGTTAGTGATCTGTCCTACTTAGATTGTTTTGTGAATGCACGCTGTTAGCAAATCCTAATATCGTCACCTACACCAGCATGTCCCTTAAGTAGCCAAATTTTGCACTGTTTGCGCTGTTTTCTGATTAACAACCAGCATCGGAAATTGTTCGGATCCATCACGAAGATTGTTCGAAAACTTTTCGGAATATTCAAGAGTGTTCGTTTTGTACGCTTATTGGCCTCTAAGCGTCAAAAACTCTCGAGAGTTCCAACGGAGATTTTGTTGAGATTTTGTCCAGCGTAACGAGGGAAGGCTCTGACTTTGAAGGAAATGTAAGTTGAAAGATGAAGCGAATACAGCTTTTCATTGCATGTTTATACGGTATTCGAATAGTTTCATGTCCCATTTAACGATAGCATTTGTATTTTTTTTCATTGCAGGATTTATACATCGGTGCTGATGTGGCGTTCCACAACTTCCAGTTTATTCTGATTGACGCGGATGAATATGCCGTGAATTACATGGAAAAACACTCCGCAGACTTTCCCCAGGCCAACATTCAATTTATTCTTCCAAAACTGAAGCGAATTCTGGAACAAAAATACGAAGAAATTAAAGCCGACTTCCAGCAACACGATCCTGGTAACGAGGGAAGAATCCCTGGCGATATTTTCAGGTGAGTTGCAAAGCGTGTAATCTGGTATTACTTAA